CCGGGGAGCTCCCAGGAAGGCACTTCTGCCCAGACACCTGCTGGGCAGGGGGCTTGGGCAGTGGGAGGGAGCAGGCTCCAGGAGGGATGGTCAGGAGAGCCCTTGGACAAAGGGAGAAGAACCCCATTGTATGCAAGTGTTACCTTGCCTGGGAGATGTGATGTGGCCCCATTTCACAGAGAAAGACTGAGTCTGATCTCTTTACTCATTTCTTCTTTCAACAAGCATTCACCGAATGCCTGCTATGTAGGTGCCAGGTGCTGGGATGCAGTAGTGAACAAAACAGACAACGACCCTGATTTTATGAAGTTTGTGGTTTGGTGAGAGATGAGGAGTAAGGAGACCCTGTGATAGGTGATGTGTATACAAGTGAAGGAGATCAATCGGGAGGGTGCAGAGAAGACCTTTCCCTGGAAAGGCTCTGTCAGCTGCCAGGGCTTAGTCTGAGACCTTTGAATGATGAGTGATCCAGGGAAGGGCACTGCAGGCAGAAGGGACAGCAGATGCAAAGGCCCTGAGGTGGGAATGACTCTGTCTGAGGACCAGAAAGACCCAGCGCAGGTGGATGTAGTGAGTGAGGTGGTCATGGGTGGGGAGGGGGGGATTGTCAAGAGATTGAGGGAGGACCTGATCAGGGAGAGACACACTTTGTTCTAAATGCAACAGGGATTCTCTAGTATTGGGGGGGGGCGTGTTCTGATTTTCATTTTTGTAGCTGTTCCTGGCTGCTGTGTAGAAAGTGGACTGTAGGGGCAGAGAGGCCCCTGGCTGTCTTTGCAGTAACTGAGGTGCTTGGGGCTTGGAGCAAGGTGGCATGGGGAGGTGAGGAGAAGTGGCTGGTTTCAGCCCCCTCCCTCCACCGTGGCCTGATAAAGGGTGACAAAGAAAGGAGTCAAGAATGACGCCCTGCTTGGGGGCCTGAGCAATTGGGTTTAGGCAGGTGGCCCTGACCGAGACGAGGACGGTTTGAGCAAGGTCCCCCAGGCAGGAATTGACTGTCTCTCCTTCTCCCTGTAACTCCCATCACCCCCAAAGGGAAACCCAGAGTGCCCTGTATTCCTGCCGCTCCTTGCCTCAGTCTCTCCATCCTGAACTCATGCTGCTCCCCAAGGCACAGAGCCCTTCCCACTCTGTCCCCTGACATGCCCTCTCTGTCCCGCCCCCACACCTTTGCTCAGTCCCTCCTGCCAGAGGGCCCTTTCTCCCTTGGGCTGAGAGGTAGCCCCCCCGCACCCCCATGTTAGGATGCCTCTGAGGGGCTGGACAGGGCAGCGACTCTAAAAGCCAGGGCCTCCTTGATTTGAATTCCACCTTGACCTCCTCCTAGCACGCACGCCTGAGCAAGTTACTTCATGGGACTCCGTTTCTACATCCGCAAAATGGTGTTGAAAATATAAGTCCCGACCACCGAGGGGTAGCTGCAGGTGTAAAGAAGGCGCGCTCACTCATTCGGCTCCTGGGACATGAGACGTGACACCAAGGGTTAGACGGTATTTTTCCAGATGGAAGAGAAATGCTGTGGGGAAGCAAGCACTCTGATATTTCTGTGCTCGGACCCCTGTGCTAACTCAGGGAAGCACATCTGGGTGAGTGAAAAGGCTGGTGCCCACCAGGAGGACTATCCCGTTCATGGCTGAGTCTCTAAGGTGTCCCCGACGGATGCCCACATGATTGCGAGGACTTCCTTGCCTGCCTTTACAGGAGGGGAAACTGAGGCCCAGGTCCACACATGGATATGCTATGGGCAGGCTCCTTCATGAGTCTTTCTCTGGCCAGCTGGGACCTTGAGACGGGTCCCCCAGATGCACCCACATTTCCCAAGGCGGCTCTATGCTCAACAGCCCTGGTAGCACACGCCCTCCCTCAGGCCCCATAGTTGGCTTCATGCCACTAATGCCATAGCCAGTTGGGCCCACAGCTGACACTGGGGCCAGATGTCCTGCCTTCATTTACATCCCTTCCACACTGTGCAGCCAGAGGAGCGAGAAGGGGAAGCCACAGGTCAGACCGAGCCTCGGTCACAGTGCCTATTGTCGCTGCCGTGCAGTGTCTGCTGGAAACTAGACCATGAGGTTTACAGGAATCAGGGCCTTTGAGCAGCACCAGATGTGAAAGCAAAACTCACACATGCACACATGCATGCACACAGAGGAACATACATGAGCACGCACAAGCGGCACACACGTACAAGCACATGCAGATGCCTGCAGGCATGCGTGTGCAAAGCACGCTCGCTCCTCTCCCTGTGGACCACCCCCATCCCAGATGGCAAACTCATACCACCCCACCCACCAGGAAGCCCCCCATCCCAGCAATCACAGGCGCTTGGAAGCAGGGGGAGACCTGAGAGATGATCACAATCAGAAAAACAACCCGCTTCCTCCGGTGGGGGCTCGTGGAAAGCCGTGGATGCTCACAGCTCCCACAGGAGGCAGGAGGGCTCTCATCTTCCAGAAGAGGAAACTGAGGCCCCAAAGGTAACGGTGTCTTGTCCAGGGCACCAAGGTCTGCACATCTCCTGCCCCAGCCCAGCGTGATGTATGGAGAGGTGGGTCCAGGCACAGACAGCGCTGTCCCCGGGGAGGGTCCCTGGCCCACCATTTCCAACTGATCCTGGAAGGGTCCTTGGCAGGCTGGCATCAGGGGCCAGTGAGCAAGAGCCCCAGCAGCCACATGGTGGGGGCTGAAGGGGAGGAGACTTGCCCAGGGTCACCCAGTATGCGGGGTCTCTAGAGCTGCTATAACAAATTACCACTAACTAGGTGGCTTAAAACAATAGAAATTGATTCTTGAACAATTCTGGAAGCCAGAAGTCTGAAATCAAGGTGCCAGCAGGCCCATGCTCCCTCTGGAGGCTCTGGGGGAGACTCCTTCCTTCTCCCTTCCAACTGCATGATTCCAATCTCTGCCTCCCCGCCTCTGTGTCTGTGTGTCCAAATCTCCTGCCCTTCTCTTCTAAGGACACCTATCAATGGGTTGTGGCCCACCCTAAATCCAGATGTTCTCATCAAAAGACCCTTTATTATATCTGCAAAGACTTTTTTCCCCCCCAAATAAGATCCCATTCACAGAGTCTGAGGGCATTGGATGTGAACCTATTTCTTTGAGGGATACTATACAACCCACTATACCTGATGAGCCAGGGGCAATACCAGGTAGAGGCCTCCCCACATCTCAGCCCTTATCCGGGGTATCATTAACATGACCAGAGGTGGGACAGGAGACAGAATTTGGAGCCTCTCAGGCTGGCTTGGAGTCCTGACCTTACCTCTTATTTGCTGTGGGACCTCAAGCAAGTGACTCACCCTCTCTGTGCCTTGATTTCTTCACATGTAAAATGAGGATAAGACAGTCCTTGCCTCATAATGGAAATTACATGAGTTGATACTTATTAAGGCTCAGAACAGTGCCTCCCTGGAACCTAGAAAGCTCTCAATTAATGTCTGATAAATAAATACAAAAATCATGTCTGGCACACTTGATTCAGTAAGTGCTAAATATCTGCTGAGGGAGGTGCTGGGGAGGAAAAATTTTCCTCCTCTCCTTAAGTTTCTTCCGGCTGGTCTAAGAATTAAATTGACAGATCAGCAGGAGAAAATCAAATGTGATTACAGACATGCAGGGGCCCTATAAGAATAGAAGGTCCACGGGCAGTCAGGCAGTTGAGGCTTCGATGGCATCCAGAGCTGAGGAGAAGTGGGTAGGGGTCTGGGACTTCAAACGGAAGGAAGACAATTCACAGGAAGATGAAAAAGAGTAAATGTTTGGTAAGTAAATATTTGCTGGGCCACTCAGAAGCAGTGGGACACAGAGAGAAATTTTAATCAACAGACTTTTGCCAGCTTCCTCCCTGTCTACCACATCTAGTTCATATTACATTACAGTTATCTGTGAGGACAGCTCCTACAGCAGGTCCTCTGTCTAAATTCTTTCTTCTTAAAAAAAAGATTTTATTTATTTATTTATTTATTTATTTTAGAGAAAGAGAGTGTGTGCATGAGTGGGGGGGAGGGACAGAGGGAGAGGGAGGGAATCTCAAGCAGACTCTGTGCTGAGCATGGAGCCCAACATGGGGCTTGATCTCACGACCCTGAGATAGTGACCTGAGCCAAAATCAAGAGTCAGACACTTAACTGAATGAGCCACCCAGGCGTCCCTGTCTAAATTTTTTCAGGCAGTTAGGGGGAAGGTCAAAGTTCCTTCCTGAGCCTTCTGTTTCTTAAAAATAATCAACCTAAAATAATCTACAGGCCAGAGAGACACATCTTGGGCTGGCAAGGTTTGCTCCTTTAAAGTTGCTGGTAATGCTCCAAAGGATCCCTCACCAAGCATCTTTCTGGGTTCCCCCCTTCACTGCCCCCCTTCCCAAGAGAGGCAGAGAATGTTGCGATTGTCCCACTTGTCAGATAAGAACACTGAGTCCCAGTGGAGGCAGGGGGGACAGCTGCTAAACTAGGGTCCTGGCCCTGGGTGAGGGTCCCACATGCTGGCTCGCAGACTACATCTGACCCCCAACAAGGGCTTCAAAGCAAAAAGAGAAAAGCAGGACGAGTTCATAAGTGATTCATAAAGCTAAAGCTAATCCTGGCAAACAGAATGATGAAGAGCCCTGTTTCTCTGAGGGTGATCCCTGGGCCAGCAGCATCAGCCTCACGTGGGGACTGGCTAGGAATGCACATTCTTGGGGCTCCCCACAGAGCTTCAAAAGTTGCAGGCAAGGCTTTCCAGGGGCTGCTGAAGCATGCTAAAGTTTGAGGACCACTGGCCTAGGGGTGTAAGGTGTGGACAGAGAGCCAGGCACCCTGGGGGGTTGGAATCTGGGATCTGCCACCTAATAGCTGTGTGGCCTCAGGTGCATCACTGTATGTCTCCAGATATCCACTTCCCAGCTGGAAATGGAGATCATGATCAAGTCTGGGGCACGGGGCTGCACCAAGGACTCAAGTTCACACCTGGCACTGTGCAGATGCTGATTAATCACTGTAATTATTCTATTGTAGGGACTGGCTTCCCCGGACTTTATGAGCTTCCACCAGTGTGTGCACATTCCTTTTGGGAAGGGATGAAAACGGGAGATATTAACTGGTTTCTTCAAAACTCTACTTGGTAAGTTTTTAAGGTTGGTAGTTAACTTTCCAATCAAGTCTGAGATCCTTGGGATCCTAAAATCAGGGAGCCAGCACTTTAAGATGGGAGGTCACTGGCCCTTTCACAAGTGGGTAAACTGAGGCTCCCTTGGGCCCCTCTGGGGAATGCCAACCCCACAGGAAATAGCATTTGGCTTCTATGGAAATTTCACTGAGCTGCCCCTCGCAAGCAATCAGGAGTGGGTAGTTCCAGATGGGGGCCTTTCCCCAGATGCCTGAATTTTCTTAGAACCTCACCTGGGCAGAGGGATACTGCTAGTCTTGGGTCTGAGCGGCACTGCAAGGGTGATGTCAAGGACCATAGCAAAAATCCCAGGGGCCATTCACGGCCACCTGTCCTGCAAAGAGAGGACACTCCCACCTTACAGCCGAGGACGCTAAGGCCCAGAGCTGAAGATGTGAGCCCAAGGTCACAAAGGTGCTAGGTGGCAGAGCAAGGATTCAAACTGACATGTGTCGAGCCTCAAAGCCTGGGAGATTTCCAGGTTTGGTGGCCTCCAGGCACTCCTGGCCACCACCACCCAAGCCCCCAGCCTAGCCTGACCAAGGCTGAGGAAGAGGGAGGCTACGGCTTCCAAATCCCATCCACTGTCCTTGTCTACCTGCCAAGGTTTGGCTTCCGATGGAGGAAGCTGGGGATGGCAGGGGGGAGGTCAGTTCTGCAGAAGATTCATCGCCTGTCACAGGAGGGATTCGGGGTCCCTCCACCTCACCCGATTTCCAGGCAGGCCACCCAGATACAGCAGTCTGGGACATGGGGCCAAGTGCCAGATCTCAGACCCAGAGGCTGAGGGACGTGTCTGCAGAACCTCTCAGCCTCAGCTTCTGCCTCTGAAACTTGGCTTCCCATTCCTGACCTGGGGATCTCTGATTTCTGAGAAGCCACAGAAGAAGCAACACCGGCCCACTGTTTCTGGTTGCCTGTTGTCCCCAGAGAGCCCAGTGGCAGGACTCCCAGTCAGAATGCAGCTGCTGGGCTCAGCAGACAGGGAACTGGGACCAGTGGGGGAGGGGTGGGGACTCCGGGCCAAGGTCAGCTCCCAAGCAGGATGGGGGGGTGGGGGGGGGTGTATGATGGTGGGTGGCGGCTGGGGGCTATCCAGCACTTACTATGTGTCCGAATTTGAAGGGCTCCTCTTAGGTTTGCACATTTCAGCCTCGCCAACCGCTGGGCGAGGCTGGGTTTTACAGCAAGACCAAGGCACAGAGAAGTTGAGTAGCCACCCATGGTCACACAGCGCGTCTGTGCAGAGCTGATTTGGACCTCACACACGGGTTTCAGAGGCCACACTGCATCACTCAGCCCTGTGGCCCTTGGGGACCAGGAACTCAGCAAGGAAATGACAGCATGAGTGAGGCAGGGACAGGGTGGGGACAGCCAAGGGCAGGGAGCAGGCACAGGCACTGGGGGTCGCCCCAAACAGGGGAGGCTGGACAGCTGGGCCTGCGGGGCCTGCGGTGGTGCTGCTGGGCCAGGAGGCGTGTCCAGACAGGCGGTACAGGGGCTAGGGGCCACCCTCCGCCCTCCCCTCCGCTATGCCTTCCCTTTGAAGCAGGGATTCCACTTCTTGGAACCTGCCCTGAGGCAATGCTCCCCTTCCTCCTCCTGGGGGCTAAGCACCAGTGTGGGTGGCTTTGTCTCTCCACCCAGGGACCTCACGCATTTCCTGAGAAAGGCACTCCTTCCCCCCAGCACCTGGTAGGAAGGGGGGAAGATTACAGAGAGCACTGTGGGTGGCCAGGCCCAGCGAATTCCTCTTGAGACCATTCCTGGGCTGGGTATGTTCTCCAGTGTCACTGAATGCTGTTTCATTCCCCATCCATATAGCACCCCAAACCATCTGTGCCTGTGTGATCATTTCCATGGAGGAATCCCCTACATACAGTACAGAGCACGCCTCTGAAGCGTGTGGCTTGAACAATTTTTACACACACATATGAAAGTCACTGCCCCGATCAAGATCCGGGCCCTGGCTACTCAAAGTGTGGTCCTCAGGCCAGGGGCACCAAGCTCTCCAGGGAGCTTTTAGAAATGCAGAACTGCCTGCCCACCAGCACCTACCCGATGGGTCACAATCTGCCTTCCATTGAATAAGACCCCAGGGGATTCATGTCCCATAGCGGTGGTGGTGGGAACCATTGTATGCCAGGGGCTTCCGACACCCCCGCCCCCAGCACTTTCTCAAGCATGTCAAACAAGCTTTGTAGCTGTCAAGTGCAAAACGAGCTTAGGAGGCAGAAACTATTATTATCATATTAATATAAATATTCATATCAACAGCACATCGATATGACTATGAATAGCCTATCTGTGTCATTTCACCAGGGAGAAAACCAAACCTTGGAGAGGTTTCACGACCTGCCCAAGAGTGCTACACAGTGGGGCAGTTTGGATGGGAACCCAGACTGAGTCCACAGCCCTGATTTTACTAAATCTCTCAGAGAGTGAGCAACATAGGATGTCCCTCCAGCAAGCTGGTTTAAGAAAGAAAGCTTCTTTTTTCTTTCTTCCTTTGAAAAAGAACCCCACAATAATGATGGGTGCTTATGATTTAAACAAAAATTCAAAGCCCCCAAAGGCTTTCAAAAAACAATCGGCTTCCCTGCCAACCATCCGTGGCCTCCTGGCCATCCTTCCTGGAGGCCCCCACTCTGGTCAATTTCCTGCGTGCCTTTTCAAAAAGACGCTTGCAGGTACCAGCACATGGAAATAACTCATGTTTTCTCTTCCTTGTGCAAATGGGAGCATGTTCTGCAACCAGACCTGCCCCTTGCTTTTATCACCCTATACTTCATCTCCCTATCAGCACATAAAACCTTGGTTATGATGCAGATGTACCATAATTTACCTCCAGACTGCAGGGTACACAGGTTGCTCCCCGTCTTTTATGACCATGGCCTTGCTGGGCCGAGTCACCTTGCACTGGACTCCTCTGCACCTCTGGGGCATTGCTGCAGGATGGCGCCCAGAGGAGGAACGTCCCTGCCCCTGCTGTGCGTGATGTTGACCTTGACAGTTATAAGGAGCATTCCTTATCTGCCAGCCTTGGACCGCTTTCAAGATGCCTGGCGCCTCTGGCACATACATCCTGGGTGGGGGCTGACAGGAGGGGTCCATAGTAGGGAAGGTCGGTGCTTTCCAAGAAACTGAAAAGGGAACTGGAGAAAGTACTGGCAGCTCTCGAGGCTCCTTGAGAGTGGGAAACTCGGCTGTGTAGCCCCTTCTCCAGAAATAAGAGCCTGAAACCTCCCTTTCCCTGAACATCCTGGGGTGACAGCCTCACCCCACTTTCACCCTCCCACATACACACACACGCATAGCCCAAAGCTGCTCAGACTTAAGCTATGCCTTGAACCAGGGTCTGGTTAAGTGTGTTCACTTAACCAATGATCATGTGGCACAGATGTATCAGGACACATTGGTGCCCGTCTCCTTTGGGCCAGGTGGAGCCTTATCTGTTCACTTTTTTTTTTTTTTTTTTAAGATTTCACTTATTTATTCATGAGAGACAGAGAGAGAGAGAGAGAAAGAGAGGCAGAGGGAGAAGCAGGCTCCCAAGGAGCAGGAAGCCCGATGCGGGACTCGATCCCAGGACCCTGAGATCATGACCTGAGCCGAAGGCAGATGCTTAACCATCTGAGCCACCCAGGCGCCCTTTTTTTTTTTTTTTAAAGATCTTATTTATTTATTTGAGAGAGAGAATGAGATAGAGAGCATGAGAGGGGGGAGGGTCAGAGAGAGAGGCAGACTCCCTGCCGAGCAGGGAGCCCGACGTGGGACTCGATCCCGGGACTCCAGGATCATGACCTGAGCCGAAGGCAGTCGCTTAACCAACTGAGCCACCCAGGCGCCCATTTGTTCACTTTCCAACTGCTTATGGGATGCTAGCTGGGTGTCAGGGACTGTTTCAAACACAGGATAAATATTAGTTCATTTAATCCTCAAAGACATACTGAGGTAGGTATGGTTATTATGCCCATTTTACAGAGGAGGAAAGTGAGGCTGGACAGGTTAAGAACCACAGCAAGGTGACACAGCTAGTGAGGACAGAGCCCGCATCCTCACCATGAACCTATGGGCAATGGCTCTCAGGTATGGGCGGGCACCAACGTCCCCTGGGGGTGGGGCTTGTTGAAACTCACTCTGCTGGGCCCCGCCCACCCCCAGGGTTCCTAACCCCCAAGGTGTGAGGGAGGACCGAGAGTCCTCATTTCTCACAAGCTCCAGGGGATGCTATGCTTCGGGTCAGGGACCACACTGTGGGCATCGCTGCTGTAAGCCCTGTAGAACTTTCTCAAAACACGCCAATGTGCAATGGCCCTCTGCATTCCAGAAGGATCCCTTACTGGACAAGAGTTGGTCATCAAGGCCCTCAGACTAGGGATTCTTCACCAAAGGTCTCATGCACGCCCAGCCTTACCCCATGGCCTGTGGCCTGGGCTTCACCAGTGACCCAGACCCCAAATGAGGAGCCACTTCCTAACACACTCACCTGAAGGCACAAAACGAAAAAGACAAGAGCAGGTGTGGTGAGCATGGGAGGGCCGTGGGACTCCCGTGAACGGCCACCGGGAATGTGAATTGGTACAACATTGCAAAAATCTGTTTGGCAGCATTTGCTAAGGCTGGACGCATACACAGCCTACAACCCCGCGATCCCACTTCCGAGGATACACCCAGGGGAAACGTGGTCGCGTGTTCACCAAAAGACACGCACGCACAAGAATGCTCAGATCAGCGATATTCATAACAGCCCAAACTGAGAACACAGGCCTCATCAATAATAGAACAGATAAATAAATTGTGTCCTATTCACACAACAGACTAGCACGCAGCCCCGACAGGGCCTGAGCGTCCCTGCATACATAGCCTTCGAAGCAGCTAGACTCAAACAAGGACATGCTGCATGACTCCATTTATGATGTTTGAGAACAGTGACAGTCTGATCGAAGGGGACC